CGGGAAGGCATTTAAATGCCTCCCCATGCCTTCCCCGGCCTGTACAAGGGCCGACTGCAGGGCGCCCAGGCAAGCCAAGGAAAGGCAGTTTAAACTGAAGCATGAATGGCAGTTTAAACTTGAAGCATGGACGGCTTCAAAAGGGAATTAGATAAGCATATGGAGCAGAGGTCCATCAGTGGCTATTAGCCACAAGGTATAGATAGGGGCTCTGGGGCAAGTGATGCTCTGTACTCTTGGTGCTTTGGGGGGGGGTCAACAGTGGGAGGGCTTCTAATGTCCTGGCCCCACTGGTGGACCTCCTGATGGCACCTGGTATTTCTGGCCACTGTGTGACACAGAGGGTGCGTTCAGACGGGGGCTTTACATTGGTATAGGTGCCGGTTGCAATCGTTGTACTCACCGGTGTTCAGACGGGGAACATCTGCCTCCTGTCCCTAACCGGTGTAAAGCCCTTTACACCGTTGCACTCGGCCACTAGGTCCCAAGTGGTGGTATCCTGAGTGCAACGGTTGTAAACGCTGTACCACGCCGTCTGATCGCTCTCCACCGGTGCCTAGCCATTTCCGTCGGAAGCCGTTTTTCCACCGCCATTTTTTAAAGAAACAGCGATATGCGCTTGGGCGAAGCTTCGCCCTGTGTGTTTGTTTAAAAAAAACAAAAAAGCCCTTACTTTAACTATCCGGAGGAGTCCGGGACTTCAGGGAGGCCAGTTTGGTTTTTAAACTTTAAAGGTAAGTCCTTAGCTTTAAAGTTTAAATGTAATGGGGGGGATTTTGAGCATGCGCAAAGATCGCCATTCTGTGAATGGCTGCCTATGCGCATGCTCAAACTGTGTTTTTAAAAAAACACAAAAACCGCCGACGCCCGCAACATGTGACCGGGCATACAATGATGGGATCCACAAAATGGAGGTAAGTGTGATCGCGTTTATGCCGGCATAAACTGCACCGTCTGAATGCACCCAGAGTGTTGGACTGGATGAGCCTTTGGCCTGATCCAACATTGGCGTCTCTTATGTTCTTAAACTGCCTTCCCTTCCCTCCAAGGGCCGGCTTGCCCGGGCTCTCCGCAGCTGCGCTGTCAAGGGTGTGGCCTAATATGTTATTGAGTTCCTGCTGTTGGGTGTGGCCTATTATGCTAATGAGTTCCTGCTGTGCTTTTTCTACAAAAAAAGCCCTGGGTGAACTAATTCACATCTGTATGGGGTAGAATATGCAAGATATTAACAACTGTAGTGAGTGAAGAAACCCTGCTAAGGCCTTGGGACTATGTAGTCTTGAACTTGTTAATGAAGTCTAATTTAGCAATTTTGCATGTGATTCTCACTTTGAAATTCTTTTGTAGAGAACCAACAGAATGTTCACATGCTAGTTTCTGAATACAGTCATTTTTTAATGTCAGATTTGTGCTCAGTTATTCTTTTGCATATTAACTGAACACATACACTTTATTTATAACCCATCTTTCTTGCTGAGATTCAAGGTAGATTACAAAATATAAAAATGATGCATTCAAGTATCATAAGACATCCAATAAACAATGCAGTAGTTCTAGAATTTATTTATTTATTTATTTATTGCTGTCAAGTCACAGCGAACTTACAGTGACCCTGTAGGGTTTACGAGGCAAGAGACATTCAGAAGTGGTTTGCTATTGCCTGCCTCTGCATAGTGACTAGGGACTTCCCTTGCTGGTCTCCCATCCAAATACTAACTGGGACCAACCCTGCTTAGTTTTTGAGATCTGATGAGATTGAGATAGCCTGGGCTTTACAAAATTTAAAAACAATGCAATAAAAATTGTGTTTTAAATTTCTGTAATCCTGGTCCTATTGCATTGCTTATTAGATGTCTCATCCTATTGATTGCATAGAACACAGAAAGGCATTGAGTACAGAAAGGCATTGGTGATGCTTGATGGCATGTGTTTAACTGGAGAATGAGCAAATGAATGAGGTTGAGGTGGTATAGATGATGTTATTAGGTCCTGTGACTATGTTGCTTGAGTTGAGAATCACTAATTATCTGCAGCCTATCCTGGAGAATGATAGTTCTCTTGGGGTAGCCGGCCTTTCCTTGCTTACCAGCAGCTCATAACACGAAACAGCTTCTTACCTACAAGACCTAACAAAGGCACAGACTTGGGAACCAGATCCTGCAACAAGTCTGGAAGATGACAAGTTTGTTATACAATCAAGCCATACAATCTCAGGCCCAAACAGACACAGTCATTATTGTCTCTTGCAACTGAAATGTTTTTTGTGTTTTTTAATGAAGCCTAAAGATGATACTCAGCCTACAGTTCATCCTACTGTCCACTGCTGGACTCCAACTTCTGACCTGTACATCGGCTCTGAAGAGGGATATTTTTTGAAAATTGGTGCAGACACATTCAAGGCTATTGCTGTCCACCAGAAACTTTCACCAGATGCTAAAGGTAAGAAACAGCTGCAAACAATGATTGTCCCAAGACATGTGCCTGACCATGTATAAGATTTTCCTGTGATCTTTAGTGTTTGAAAAATCAACATATTTAGATTGCACATTGTACATATTTATTGGCTTACATCTGCATGTAGGAGGATGTAAAGTGAAGCATTTATTCTAATTTAGAGAACAGCTAGCCCTAGCACAGTTGTCAGTAGATTGTATAGACCACAACTGAAATTGTCTCACTTCCTTTCCAGCAAAACGACGTACAACTTTTCGGTCACTGTCCCACTCTAGTGAGAAAACTGAAGGTATGTCTTCTTATATATATGTATAATGTTAATTGACTTTGCAGACAGCATCTGGAGGATTGTACTGTAATTCTTTGGGTATACTTCTGTTTGTTAGGATGTATTTTAGGTTGGTAGTAGACCTACTGTCTTCACCAGAAAACTCCCAGGGCAGCCATATTGAATTTCAGCTAGAGAACTGAACTGTTCAGATGTTTTTTTTCATACTACAGTGATGTTATGATTGGTTTTCCACTCTGAAAGCACTAATAGACATGAAAAGCACTAATAGAATGATAGTGCTACAGAAAAAAGCAGTCTTCCCTGTGAGTCTTTCCTGGCCCTCCCTTGGCACCACCCCCTTCAGCCATGGTCCCAGGGATGCTGAGGGCTCAGAATTGGGTTGCAGCACCCCCAGTAGCCTACTCCCTGTCTTTCTCTGTCTCTTTTTCTCTTTGGCGCAGACCTCAGGTCACCATCTTCCTTGACCTCAGCTTCTTGTCCCTTTTTATCCTCCCCTCTCCCTCTTTGTGTGTCCCTTTCCCCACTGTGAGTGGCTATTCCCCCTGTTTGTTTCTCTCTTATCCCCTCACCCCATTGGTGGAGTCCCATGTCCCTTTAAACTGGATCCCTCCTTGCTCCTCCCCTGTGTCTTCAGTGTTTGTCTGCTTTCCCTGCTGGGTAGGGGCGTGGCTGAACTCCTGCATCCCTTCATCAGGGGCTCATATTTTGGCACTTGGTAAGTAGCTGGCTTAAATCCTCTGCCATCCTCCCCTCCCTGTACCCACTTTCCCTGCGCCTTTATCCTGACTTGCCCCATCAGCCCTCAGCAAGGCTCTTACCTCAGGTTCCTGGGAGTCCTGACCAATGCTCCCTCTAAGCTGCCGAGTCTTATGAGCAAAAATTCGACTTTGTGAGCTACTGGCATTAAAGTTGTGAGCGAGCGATTTGGCTACTGCATAAATTAGTTGACACTGGAGCCATCCTTCTTGAGCTTAGACAAAAATGTGTGAGCCAGAGGCTAAAAAACTGTGAGCTAGCTCACATTAACTCAGCTTAGAGGGAACACTGGTCCTGACCTGTCACACTCGCTGTACCCAGGAGATGCTCCGTGGGTACCTGTGAGGCGGGGTGCCAGTTTGCGGTGTAGAAGGACAGGGTTGACTCGGCTTCTCTGCCTCTGACCCGGACTTCATCATTCCTTCTTCTTTCCCTGCCAGCTGCGCCTTTGTCATCAGCGGGGGTCTTGGCCTGGCGGCAGTGGACTTCCCCAGGTTGGCTAAGTCCATGTCCAGACACTCCCCTTCTCTATAATATGGAGATAACGTTTGTACACACACACACACACACATACCCCAGCCATGTTTAAAGGAAAGCAGTTTGGAGAAAATAAGTTTGTTGTAGAGACGGTTTTCCTTGGTAATTGGGCATTTGCGCAGATATTTGCCAGGGAAGCAAGAGGGTAGGGGAGCAGCAGTCATTTGGAAGTGGGGTAGGCAATGAAGCATTGGAGAGAACCCTACTGCTCTTCCCATTCCTTCAGCCTCAGCTCCGTTGTATATTAGAAAGACAGTGAAGATTCAAGTGAGGGGGAGGTGTTAAAATGATTTCATCACCCCCTTTTTATATTAGGGGTGTGCATTTGGATGTTCCTGAGCTGAAAATATATCCCAAAAATATCTAGTCAGTATTTTTTGTATATTTCAGCATCCCAAAAGTATCTGGGATTGTTTGGGATAACTGGGGGGAATCCTGAAAAAATCCCAGATTTTTTCAGGAAGTGTGACAATCGGGGAAAACAGCTGTGAGGTTGGGAGACTGCTCTCCACCTCTCAGCTATTTTCCTCGGCTTCTTCTGCAGTCCCTTTAAACCAGCCTGGTTTAAATGGACTGCAGGAAAAAACAGGGAAAACAGTTGAGAGATGGGAGCAATGTGCTCCTGCCACTCAGCTGTGTTTTGTGGTTTGGGCTTTCCCCCCCCCCCCCCCCCAGTTTTTTCCATCTTGGGTCTATTGGAAAAAATTGGCATATATGTTATGTGTAGTAGTAGAGTGTCTGTTTGTAGTGTGTAGATTAGTTTGTTGTAGATTATAAAAGAAAAATTAATAAAAGTGTACCTATGGGTACTTAAAAAAAAAAAAATTAGGGATTTCTGGAAAATCCCAAATCTAAATATTTTGCTGGTATTGGAATCCAGGATTTTTCTGAAACCTCAAAATTTTGGGGGGTCCAATAGACCCAAATTAAAAAAAAATCAAAATAAAAAAAATGCACACCCCTATTTTTATACTGAGGGGCCACGGTGGCTCAGAGATTAAGATGCTGAGCTGCAGACCAGAAGGTCGGTAGCTTGGCAGTTTGAGACCCTAGTGCTGTGTGACAGAGTGAGCTCCTGTCTCTGGGCCCAGCTCCTGCCAGCCCAGCAGTTCGAAAGCAAGAAATTGCAAGTAGATAAATAGGTACTGCTTCAATGGGAAGGTAACAGCGTTCTGTGCGCCTCAGCGATTAGCCGGCCACATGACCACGGAAAAGTCTTTGGACAGTGCTGGCTCTTTGGCTTGGAAACAGAGATGAGCACCACCCCCTAGAGTTGGATTCGACTGGCTTTTGAGCAAGGGAAACCTTTACCTTTGCTTTATTTTTATACCTAGTACATATAACTCAGGGACTGGTTGTACATGTTGTACTTTTTCAGGGTCTGTCCCTGGCTCAGATAAACAGACATGGCCTGGGAGTCCTGTGCTTACCAGGAATGGGGGCCCCTCAGATTGGGACCATGGTGTGCACGGAGAAGGGCTTTAAGCCTCTCTCCCCATAGCCATTTCCTGACCTCAGTTGGCCCTGGGGAGCTGCTGGTTACCATGGAAACAATGAGCTCTGATGGGCTACATGTTAAGTTTCCCCGGTGGGGTACTACTTGCTGTTTCAGGTCAGGGAAAATGGCATGGAGGAGAAGGTGGTGCCATTGTGACCTGAGAAACACAGAATTCCCTGTGATGGATCCAGGAAATCCAACCAGTGATGGATCCAGGAAAATTATAATGTGTATTTTGACCCTCAAGTTTCCAGCTTCAAGAGCATGCAGAAGACAATAGTGATACTTCCTCCTCAAGATTTGGCACTTTATTTATTCCAGTTATCAAAACTGGACCTTATGCCAAAAATACAATTTGCAATTTATAGCTCTGAACAAAATCCAGTTCAGGTCTCTTTAAAATGTCTGTCTGGATAACCTTCAGATCCAAGATGTACAATCCAAATCTGAGATCGAAAGTTGATGGCCTGTATGAGGAACCTGTTTAGTTATGGAAGTCTTTGCTATAGCTGATGGAGGTTCTTTTGGGAACTCTTTGAACACCTACAGAGGACTCTGCCTGACTGAGTCAGATCATCGGTCGGTCAAGATCAGCATTGTATACTCTACCAGCTGCTCTCCAGGGTCTCAGGCAGAGGTCTTTCACATTACCTAGTACATGATTCTTTTAACTGAAAATATGAGGGATTGAACCTGGGATATTCTGCAATGAAACAATCTCTACCACTGAGTCAGAGTTACCGCCCCATCCTGAAGAAGATAAATGAAGGTAACAAGATAAATGAGTAAAGATAGAACTATATGGCACATCTGGTTCTGTGGAGGGTATCATTGTTTTAACAGAATGGTAGGTTGTGTGTTTAAATGAGGTCCGCTGATTTTCAATCCTTCCCCCCCCCCTTTTCATTTTCCTACTGGCAATTACCTTCCTGCAAGATCTGCTTTTGCCCTGCTTGATAAAATATATGGCTTAAAAATATCAATTGGTGTTGTGTCTTTTCTTAGATGGTAGAAGAAATGAGGCTCAGAATGTGGCCCTGTTTGCTATGGCACTACACAAGGAAGGACTGTATGCAGCTGGAAATGTAAGGTACCATTCAGTAGATCCTAACAGTGTCACTATGAATAGCTGCCAATCAGATTTCCACTGCCTAGCTTGGGAGTCCAGGGTGTTTGGGGGAAAACAGTATCAGAGAAGACATGCCATCCCTTGCCATATTTATGTTACAGAATTCCTTTTCATAGAGTAGACATTGGTTTCTGAGGCCATGGCACTTCTAGGCACTGGTTATGGAAATCCTGCATTCAATCTGATGACCAGCTTGTTTGAGCAAAAACACTCAGAGAGAACTGTTCTAAAGACTCACTGTCTAAGTCCTAAGGGGCAAGATTCCATGAGTTCTGGGAATTATTTAGACATAGGAAAAGGAAAAGCTTGTGTTGGTCACACAATGCCAATTATACAGTGACCCAGTGATAAAGCTGAAAACACCAGAATGTTACCTGGTCTAATTCCAAAGGTTGGACTTGCCCTACAAAATATCCCTGTCACCATTACCTCGTGTTATTCAGATCAAAATGTGCCACAAGGAGAGGCAAAAAGTAAACAAAAAAGCTATTTTAATCTTGCAAGTGAGGGACCCAGAAGAACTTGGGTACTAGTTTTCCCTTCTCCCATTTTTCCCATTTTTTCCTCTTTCCCTTTCTTGAAAGCCTCTATAGGCTGTCCCTTTTTCCTGTTTCTTTCTCTCCTTGCCACCCACAAGCTAACTTTTATTCATCCCCATGTCTTGAGCTTTCCCTCCTTCCACCGCCCTGGCAGCCTTTTCCCTAAGAAAACTCTGTATGGTGCCAGCTGCTGTGTGGTGCATTCTAAGGATATGCAGATATTTCTAGTCTGAATACATATTCGAAAAATACCTTATTGGTATTTTCCAGATATATTTGGGTCTCTAGGTAGTCTCTGGAATTTTCTGGGATACCAGGAATTGGTCCTGAAAAAATCCCAGAAATATTTGGGGGTAACCAGGAAGGAGCCAGAATTTTAAGGCTCCTAAGACTATTTTTTTCTTGAATTTTGCTGTGTGTCTTTGTCAGTGACTTCCCATGGATTGGTATTGGCTTGATATGTTGATTTGTGGTTTAATATTAGTTCTATGGGTTTTGCAAGTTGCATCATCATTTTCTTTGCTCAAGTAGGTTTGCATTGGACTCTTGGGTTTGACATTGGCTTGATTTTCTTACTTATTACTGACTGGATTCTCCCATTTGGCATTGGTTGGGCATGCAGTACTCCTTGATGAAATAATTTGGCTTGAAGGATTCTCTAGTTTGACATGAGTTTGAAGTCTCTGATTGGACATTAATTGAATTATGTTCACCACATTGTCTTGCACTTCTGATGGGATTCCCTAGTTTGGCATTAGTTCTTCAGGCTTGTTGGTTCTGTTTGCTTTGGGAGGCTTTTGGCTAGTAGTTGCTTAGCTTGCTCTTGAGTGTTTGGTTCCTGTTTGCCCTGGATAAACTTGGAATCCCCCAGCCCCTATGTAGGAAAAAATGGAGGATGGCTGGGGGCACCTTCTTCAAGGGCCCAGAGAATTGGACCTCTTGGTCTTATTCACCTGAAACTTGGGGGTTATTTAGTGGACAGACACCAGCAGCTCCACTGTGGTTTTGGCACCATTAGTTCAACAGCCCCTTCCAGTACCTCAGAAAGATTCCCATTGGGAATAAGGGAGCGAAAGAATATCAGAACCCCCCCCCCCACACACACACAGAAACACCCCTGGATCCAAATAGCAAACAAGTATTTGGGGCCTGAATAACTGGCTATACTGATATTTTTTGGCTCCCTGACAAACCCTATCCAAAAAATACAAAAAAGATTTCTGTGCTGCACGTCCCTAGTACATTCATGGCAGCAATTCCAGGGAAATTATGAATCCTCGCTAAGTGGATGCAGCCCTAATTGGTGGGCAAGCTGCTATAGAAAAAGGCAGTACTTCAGGTAATTGTGTCCCAGGCAATTGAGGGCATTTTAACATAAGAACCAGAACCCTGAATTGTGCCTAGAAACAAACTGGCATCCAGTATTTAAGACAGGTATAATATGTTCTCCATAAGTCATGTCCATAATTACCTGCTATGTTATGTAGCAATTAAAGTTTCCAGGCAGTCTTCAAAGGTATAGCCTTGTAAATCACAAACAAGGAAACATGCTGTAGTGCTGTATGAAAATGACCTCAAACATCCTGCAACAGGATCATCCAGCAACATTGGCTCATAGTAAATGACTCCTAGTGGCTGATTTGTTCTGTAGAATACACTATGTGCTGTGAGGAATTAACTTTGTTGGTCTTATAGGTGCCACTGGACTCAAATTTTGTTCTATCTCTTTTATTGTTCAGGAGAATACATATTGGATTTCAAGTGTAACTATTTGACAGGACAAGGTCAGAGGTTCTTCCCACCCCTTGAATTTTTTTTTTTATTATTTCAATGGCCATGAAAGACCTCAATTTAGGAATCCCAGACCAGAATCCTGGAATTGACCAAAAACAGGTGCAGAAACTGGTTGTATATGTGACCCAAATGTTCTTTTAGATTTTTAGAATCATTGTGAGACAATTAATTGCTATGCATGGGGCCATACTAATTGTGCTTTTTATGTTTTTGCTGCCTAGGATGGTGTTGTCCGTTGCTATCAAGTCAAAGGCACACAATTTCAGACAGAAGATTGCCTGGAAATAGATGAACCCATAACAAATCTCATCTTTTCCCCTGACTATACTTATTTATTAGTAGAAACAGAAAAGGTATGTTTTGCAAGACATAAATACCGTTAAGTGAGTTTCATGGCTTAATTTATATTTATTGGGATACTTTCATGCATCACAAAACAAGTTTTTACTCTGCTGCACAACATGGGGTCTCCCATGTTCAGTTTATTTACATGGAAACTCAGAAAGTGGGAAATGATGGTGCCAGTTGGCTGAGTTCCTCCCGATTTTAATTTCTGTTTAAGAAATGCCTACGAAAACTTACTTATAAAATTCAGTAGATTAATTTGTATATGTAAAATTAACTATGGTCATAAGCTCTAGGAAAATCAAAGACATGTGTATCAGCCCCAATTAAATTTCTTTTGCACTTCAGAAATTATACTATTGTAGCAATACACAGAAATACTTCAGTATTTGTATTCCAGGGGCAGTACCATTGGAAGTGTGTCTGGCTTTTTCACATTCAAACTCATAAAATAGTAATTATGTGTTAAATTGACTGCACTGTTAGTTGTCAGTGGACGACTGCCAGGTTGACTGCACTATTAGTTGCCAGAGGACAAATAAGCAGTCATTCCAGATTCCCGGGGAAAACAGTGGTAAAGAAGTTAGATAGCTTGATAATACATCTGAAATAGTTGGAAATTTGACCTGGACTGAAACTGTTGGAAAAGTGTTATTTTCAAGTTCATCCTGGTTTCTAGCTTAGTCATTTGAAGGAAATAGCCACATCAATTTTCTCACCATACAGAGCAACTTAGATACTAATTAAAGTAAAGGGAAAGTTTACCTTGCTCAAAAGCCAGTCGAATCTGACTCTAGGGATGCGGTGCTCATCTCCGTTTCAAAGCCGAAGAGCCAGCGCTGTCCAAAGACATTTTTCTTGGTCATGTGGCCGGCATGACTAAACACCAAGGCACACGGAACGCTGTTACCTTCCCACTGAAGTGGTACCTATTTATCTACTTGCAATTTCTTGCTTTTGAACTGCTTGGTTGGCAGGAGCTGGGACCAAAGATGGGCGCTCACTCCGTCATGCGGCACACTCGGGTCTCGAACTGCTGAACTATTGACCTTCTGGTCTGCAGTTCAGCATCTTACCCACTTGAGTCACCGCAGCCCCGCAGATACTAATTAGGAACAATTAAATTAAAGTACACTTGCTTGTGAATACTATGGTGGTGGAAAGTACCGTTAAGTCACAGCTGACTTATGGCAACCCTGTAGGGTTTTCAAGGCAAGAGGTGTTCAGAGGTGGTTTGCAATTGCCTGCATCTGCGTCACAACCCTGGACTTCCTTGGAGGCCTCCCATCCAAATACTAGCCAGGGCCGACCCTGCTTAGCTTCCAAGATATGACAAGATCAGGCTAGCCAGAGGCAGCTAGCTTTCAGGTTGTTATGAGAATTGTGCCGTTATATAGGCTGACACTGTCTTATCAGTTAAAACATAGTGGCGAAAGTTGGAAAGTGACAGTTAGAAAAACTGGATCTATTGCTGAAACAAGAACATATAGCAAATATTTCCTCTGTGCTTCCCATAATGACTTATCATTTCCATTTGGCAGGGATCTCTCTATGTCTTTAATCCTAATGACAATGAAGATGTGGTCCAGTTATTGGATGCAAGTGAAGGCCAGTTCCTCGGGGTTGATTTTATTGTTCCAGGATCCAAGCACTGTGTGGTGAGGAACTGACAGTCTTTTTAAATGGGAGAAGTTTAGATGTTCAGGGTTCGTTATGTAATTTTTTTGCAGTGTTATCCTTGGAAGGTCATGACAGGCCCCATTTGTAAACAGAGCCTGGACCCTTATTTCTTTATTGATTATAATTTTTATTTAAAATGCTTTTTAGCTCATTTATACTACAGGCATTCTGACCTAAGCAATGCTTTCTCATGAGCTTCAGGAGGAACTGGATAAGGAAGCGCTATAAACTTAAGATGTATAAATAACAAGGGGAGGGTGGAGTTTGGGAAGGGAAGGGATCTCATTGGAGTATAATGCTATAGAATCTCCCCTCCGTCTTTTCCAGGGAAATTGAGCTCCATAGTTTCAAGATCAGTTGTATTTCCAGTAGACCTCCAGGCCCCACCTGGAGGCTGGCACCGCCAAAGGGGAATTGTGTTCCTCATCTACATTAAAATGGACAGCCCCCTTCTTACATACAAGTGTGCCACTGTTATATCTATGTTGGTCCTTAAGTAAGCTTGCACAAAACAGAGTACACTAGTGTGCCAAGAGTAACTCAATCTCCCAAATTTCTTTATGTTTCATGTTTCATAACATTCCGTCTTCTTGTTGTTTACAGTCTCTTTCTCTCTCTCTTTCTTATAGTCTGTAGCAGAATCAGGGGAGATGCATATTTGGCAGACAGAGGATGGAGCTTGTATCAGCAAGATGTCCTTGCACGCCCTGGTATGCACATGGAGTTTGCAGCTGTAATTAACAAGACTTAAAGCAATTTGTTTATTTATGGGGTGTCATCAAAACCCTTGGCTCAATGCAGAGCTAGAATGAACTCATATTATTTTGACATACACGTCAATAAACTCTTTTTGAAATGCAGTATGAGCTCACTGTTTTTTGGTTCATATTTGGCTTTGAGCTTCCCAGAAACACTTTCTCAGGAGAATGTACATAGAAGAATTTAAAAAACAAATGCCCTATGCAGATAACTGAGGATGATCTAGCAACAGCCTATTATAGGGGTGATTTCTTAAAGCCCTGGCCTAGATAGCCCAGGCTAGGCTGATCTTGTCAGATCTCGGAAGCTAAACAGGGCTGGCTGTGGTCAGTATTTGGAAGGGAGACCTCCAAGGAATACCAGGATCATGACATGGAGGCAGGCAATGGCAAACTGCCTCCTGAACCCCTCTGGCCTTGAAAACCATGCCATCAGTCAGCTGTGACATGATCACAAAAGATATGCATATTTCTTTAAAATTCTGCCAAAAGCCAGCTGTATTTGAGAACATAATAAAACTTGTCACCATCTTAGTATTCTTTGCCAGAGGGTCTTATCACAAAGAAACTCAGTGTCATCTCTTTGTTCCCTAGGTCACAGCGATGGCTTGCAGTTTGTCTTCTCACTGTGTGGGAGTGGGAACTAAAGGAGGCCACATCTTCTTCATAGATGTTACAGATGTCAAGCTTCCGAGGGTGATTCACCGGGTTCTACTTACTGAACATCCTGTGCAATTTTTGCAGTAAGTAGTAGGAGAGTGAAGAAGAGAGAAGTAGAAGAAGAAGAAGAGATTAGATTTATACCCCGCCCTTCACTTGGAGACTCAGAGCGGCTTACAAACTCCTTTCCCTTCCCCTCCCCACAACAGACACCCTGTGAGGTGGGTGGGGCTGAGAGAACTCTGACACAAACTGCTCTTTTTCAAGGACAGCTGTGCCAGAGCTTGTGACTGACCCAAGGTCACATCAGCAGGTGCAAGTGGAGGAGTGGGGAATCAAACCCGGTTCTCCCAGATTAGAGTCCGCACACTTAACCACTACACCAAACTGGCTCTCAGTAACCTGAACAGATCTTCATAAGTGTTTGAAACTGGAACTGTCTTTATTCCATTATGTGATGCCAGAGAATGTTAAGAACTGCAGCTACCACTTTAATAACTTGACATATTGACAGTTAGCTGTAGGATAACGCTAAACTGCAAATATGCCCAGGCATGCCCTAATCACATTGTCACAGAATAACAGCTTCTTATTACCTGCATTTAAAAGGTTTATTCAAGTTAGCCTGCTCCGTTATGTCTAAAGGTTCAAAGCCTCCCCAATCCTAATTTAAGCCATGCTGTTTATTGGTAGGTAAATGTAGTCTTTTCTTTGACTGTCCCAGTAGCAACCTAAAACTCTTCAGTTTTAAATCATATACTAATTTTACGTGTGCGTTAAGTGCCATCAAGTCACTTCTGAATTATGGCTACCCTATGCTAATATATGCTAATTAAGGTTTGCTAGAAGAGTCTTCCTCTTTTCAGCCAGACTATAGCTGCTTCCACACAGGGATTTCCCCTCACACACATAGAACCGAGAAAGCCCCCAGAACTGTGGGCTTCTACATGACATCCCTGCTCGGTGTGAGCAGGCCTAGATGTGTGGACCCTCTATCTGCAGCCAAGACAAGCAGGGAGCAGAGCTAAGCTCTGCTTTCAAAATGGTTCTCTGCATTTCCTTTCTCCCCTGTTTTTTTTCTTTTTCCAGGCAGCATAGGTCAGCTGGGGAGGGCATGGGGGGATGTCAGGCCATGGGTATGGGGCAGCACAGACTTTCGTTACATCTGTGCTTGTGCATAGATGCTATGGAGGAATGGGGGCAGAGGAAAGTGGTGGAGGGAGAGGGTGAGGGTTATGCGGACAGGGCATGTAGCTACTATTCCTAAGTGCTCCCATATCACATACTGCTGCTGCTGTGGCAGTGGCAGTGGCACCTGAGGGACCGCCTTTCCCCGTACATACGCCCAAGAGCACTTCGGTCGGAGACCCAGAACCGGTTAGTGGTTCCGGGCCCCCGAGAGGTAAAGTTGGCTGTGACGAGGGCCAGATCTTTTTCAGTGGCGGCCCCTGCCTGGTGGAACGAGCTCCCGGATGAGATCAGGGCCCTGCGGGACTTTATGCAGTTCCGCAGGGCCTGCAAGACGGAGCTCTTCCACCAGGCTTATACATAGGGGCCGCCGCTACTGCCACCACTACCAACGGTGGTAATACCATCAGGGTCAGGAAAGCCCCGAATAATCTGGAGGTACAAGAACTACCTGGCAATAAGAACAATGGACGGGTTCGGACTTTCTAGTAGACAGCGACACCCCAAACTGAGGGTTGCTGGAAGTCATCATAAGAACAACTAAGACCATCTTGCGAAATAGAAGCACTTTATTGTTTATTATTGAATTGTACTGTTGTTATAAAAGTTATGGTTTTATTGGTTTTATGTATGGGCTTATGCCCCTTGTAAGCCGCCCTGAGCCCGCTTGCGGGGTAGGGCGGGGTAAAAATACTTATATAAATAAATAAAATAAATAAAATGTTTTTGGGTCCCTGTGTGGAAGTGGTCTACTTTTAGGTGTGAATGAGTCAAAGAATCTTGTCTCCATCAGAGTGATGGCTCCAGTCATTCACAGTGGTTTGATTAGAATTATTTATTTATTTAACCTTTCATTTTGATTTGCAATCTTAATCCACTGTCTTTTTGACTAGGAGAACAAACTTTCCAGACAGTCCTAAGGTTTCAATCCAGGAAACCAAAATTCATTTGCTACAGTCATTTACTTGAAGGTTACTGTTGCTAGAAGACAGAGACCTTAGATCTGTTCTCTGAACCTTCTAGAAATAAGGACAGCTCAAGGCATTTTGCTGCTCCAAGCCCTTTCTTCTCATGCCATCCCATCTTGGTCCAAGCCTCACAGATAGCAGCTCTGCAGCCCGTGTTGGGCCAGGGTGGCAATGGCACAGGTGTGGAGGCCAGGTGCCTCCCTCCATGCCATCCATGCCAGGCCCAAGACAAGCTCCAAAGGCCTTTTGTGTTCTATCTTAGAACAAAGTGTATGTATGGAGGGAGGGGCAGTGCCACTCAGCACAGTCCCAGACAGGCTGCAAATGCAGCACTTCTGTGGCCCTCTTTGGACCTGGGCAAAAGTGGTATGGGTCTAGGAAACAACAACAGGCATAAAATGCCTATCACAAGTTTACCCCCTACCAGTTTGGCAACCCAAATAATTCCTTTGGTAGTGAACCAGCCCTGTCTAGAGCTCCACAGGGGGTCCATCCAACATGGTTAAACTTCTTGTTTCTTCCCTAGTTGCAGCCACATGACTGGCCTAGACTTCATTTTTGAACAATTTCCTGAACAGAGAAAGGGTTTGAAGTGCATCTTAGCTTTAGGAACCTGTCTGGCTTTGTATTAAGCTCCAGTAAGAGTAGAAAAGTCTGTATATTTTCCCATTTTGTTCTGTTGTGTTAGTTTTAGCCTTTTTTTTGCTTTCTGCCTTATTAAAATGTTGTATAAACGTCTTTCCTTTTATAATACATAGGTTTTACTGTTGGAAAAAGTGTATTTCCTGAAGAGGTTTTTCCACTCTGCTAAGTACATTGAAAGGAAAGACAGCATAGTATAGCTTGATCTTGTCAGATCTCAGAAGCTAGCAGGGTTGGTACTTGGATGGCAGACCACCTAGGAAGACTCTGCAGAGGAAGGCAATGGCAAACCACCTCTGCTTCTCAATTGTAAAAATAAAACTGTAGGGGGGTGGAAGAGAAGAAGTTTGCAGGGTGTGAAATTTAAGTCCCTAGTTTCTAGGTTTCGAGATGGGATATTGTTACATATTTCAAGTCAAATACTGTGGTTACATTTAAATGTATTATTTTTGCTTTTCTCTTGTTTTTAAAGCTACGAACAGAGTGGTCAGTTTCTTATAACAGGAACTTCAGATGGTTATCTCTTTATTTTAAATGCCCTGCCTTCAAGCTTATTCCAAGTTCTTGGATACATAGGTATATATGCAAAATTCTTGGATATTTATTTCCTGTAATGCCATGAGCAACAGCTGTGAATAGTAACTGTTAAGATTTCATCAGAAACCATAGATTTTACTGCAGGTACTTCTGTAATATCTCATCTGATGCAACCTTTACTTAAAGGCAATGTCTTGAGGCTATGAATTTTTGCTAGAATCCTGATAATCTTTGCTTTGAGATAAAAAACCCACCAATCTGTCTACCTGTCTGATATTGCCCTAGAAGAGAGCCTGTACACTATGGCAGAAGGTAAATATAGTAACTCACATATTCCGAATGGTTTTTAATGCTACAGTCAGGATTTTGAGGGACTATCTTATAACCACATCATTTTGATATTCATAATAGCTGAACAGTATGTTATTTAATTGTACTGGTGCTCACCAAGTCAATTCAGATTTTTGTTGTTGAAAACTGAACCTAATTTTTCTGTATTAAGATTCCTATTCAGTATCTTGTACCAGCAGCTAGTTTCTCTTTCAGAGGCTTTTAACAGAGTTTTGTATAACAAAGAGGTTAGGCTGTGACATAACTAGATATTCAGTTGACTGGGAGTTATCCTTGGTTAGGACCAGAATGCTTTTTAATATACAACAGGGCTTTTTTGTTAACAGCAGTGAAATCCCTGCATAGAAATTATCATATGTAAAGATACTCTAACTTTAAATATAGTTCAATGGTACACGCACAAAACTGGGTGCAAGCTTGTAGCTAAAGCAGTTAGAAACACCTCTTAACATACTGCAGTTGACCTTTCAAAGACTCCCAGAGTGCCTGTACTGTACTCAATAAGAAGAAATGCATTAGTTTGAAATGCCTAGTTTGAAATGATGGTTTCTTTTTCTTCGCAGTGTTATCCCATGAGATTATTGACTTGACTTCACTCTATGATATAGAGAAAGAAGCATCTGAAGTTATTGCACTCTTTTGTCCACCAGACATCAAAAGAGCAAGAATGGAGGTGTTCAACCTTCCTACCAAGATCATCTTCGGTAAATATTGCACAGTTATGCCCCGTACTAGAAATTTTTATTTCTCTTATATCAATACATTTCTCTTCTATCGAGCTTAGACAACTAGACTGCCTTGCATAATAGAACCTTTAAAGGAAAAACAAGGGATGGAAGTTTTGCTTTGTTTAAAGTCTGATACCATGTGGTCACCATTCAACACTGATACATTTACAGGGCACTAGGAAAAAGGATGAAAACAAAGTGTCTAAGTGACTTAACGCACATTCATGGAGCCAGTTTGGTGTAGTGGTTAAGAGCGGCAGACTCTAATCTGTAGAACTGGGTTTGATTCCCCACTCCTCCACATGAAACCATCTGGATCATATGCAGATCAAATGCAGTTTTATATTTAAATATTTTATATATATATTATTGGTACCCTTTTGTATTGTTTGTAATTGGGCTGGTGATATACCGAATAAACTGAAACTGAAACTGAACCATCTGGATGACCTTGGGCCCATCATGGTTCTTTCAGAACTCTCTCAGCCCCATCTACGTCACAAGGTGTCTGTTGTGGGGAGAGGAAGGGAAGGCAATTGTAAGCTACTCTGAGACATCTTTGGGTAGTGAACCAACTCCTCCTCCTCCTTTTTCTCCATTTTTCTTGACCCAGAGCTTTTGCAGATATGTAGATGTGGTAACATGGTAGAACAGTATTTCCCCCTTGTGCTTCACTGTATTGACAGCCACCGCAGCAAGGGGGAAATTACACAAACCTGTCCTTATGTGGAATGTGTGAGTGTTAAGTTTAGAGATGCTACTATGAGGGTGCATGGTGCTCAGTGAGTATGGAGAATCTGCCAATTCAAAGCTTGCCCTCTTTGCAGATTATCCATGATCACTGAGCACCATGCAGACTGTGCTCCCTTCCTATCCAGTGCTACCCATATATTAAAAAACATGGCTTCTATATTTTTGTCCCAACTAATATTTTAAGAGGGGGGAAATACTAATATAGAAATGCATGCTGTCTTCCACCTCCCCTGCCTGCTGTGGTTCTTTTTCACTCTGCAGATAATGAGGAGTGTATCAATGAAAGGGGGTTGTTGAAGGACCAGGTCATTCGGAGGCGTTCCTATGACTTCGAGTTCCCTCTGTGTTCTGTGGTCAAGCGGAAGGACGCCACTGTGTACGGCTATGCTAGCCAAGCCCCTTTCATCTGTAAATACCATTTTGCTTCAAAGGTATGATCATGTGGCACAAGAGAACAGTTAATTAATGTTGCTTCTTTTACAAATAGCCAAAACTCTTTTCTGAAACAAGATCCTTCATTCAACAGATTAGATGTCTTCTGCAGCCTTTCCTGTATTTGCTTACCATTGACCAGCTTTAAGATCAATGCAAGTACCTCCCCCCCCCCGCCCCAAAAGAAAAAAAAATTCAGTCTGGACATTTTGTGAGGAAGCCCAGTATCCAGCATATTAATTTGGCTCTAGGTCAGTCCTCCGGTCCCTGGTTTGGAGTAGTAACATCATTGATTCATGGCAGTCAGTGATGTCACTACTCATTCCCTATGTGGCATTCTTACCACAAATAGGGCCCTTTTCACTACCCTCCCAGTTTTGTATCACCAGAGGTGAGAGGGGACAGTTGGGAGGACTTAATTTGTAGCAATGACAGCTTTGGTGGGGACTGGAGCCCTGTGCATGCACTGTGCATCCTAGGGACCTTCAGAGCAGGGGATAGCTGGCTGAGACGTCATCAGTAGCTACTACTTCTCCTTTACTAATGAAATTATTCCTCCATTTGATTATTCATTCTTTTATTTATTGTAACATTTTCTCCTGTTTACAGCCAGCATCCATGTGAAAATACCGCTATCCCAAAGCAGGGGTGGGCAGAATAGCATCAGCAAAGGGAGGCCAGGCTCAGCAGGATGAGCTATAGGCCAAGCAGGATTAAGCGGGGCAAGGTGGGGGGTGGGGGTGGGCAGCTAGCAAAAGCCTGTGGCTTGCTGTCGTGCTGGTGGGATGCAGAACCCCATGTAGCTTAGAGTAGTGCTTCGGTGTTAGTCTGGAGCCAAATGACGATTTAACTATTTCTGCAGATTACTGTATATTTCATGCCCTGCCTCCCAGGAAAGGGCTGTTAGTGAATTAAAAGGGGCCAGACATCGGAGTGAGTGTTCCAGTGGGACTGAGGCTACTTCTGTTGTGTCAGGGCTCAACAGACACTGCTGGAGCTGCCAGGCATTTGGGGGGGAGGTCTCCTCAGAATCCAAGGAATAGAGTCAAGCTACTTCTTCAAGACCAGGTGATGTTAACTGTCTCCTGGTGCTCCTCCCTGTCCCCTGAAGGGATGTCTGAAGAGATAACCGCTTCCTCCTGCTCTGTCTCCAGAATCCTGGTTTCTTCTACCTTGACCTTGGAATCTTCAGACTCCTTCCTGCTAGCAGGGTGGGGTCAGAGTCCTGGCCCATGCCACATTTCTGTTCTGCAGTGATACAACAGACCCCTGCGTACAGAATAATATAAATGTAGCTTACCACCAGCACTACAATGTAGTGGCTCAGTGGTTAAGATGCTGAACTGCAGACTGGAAGGCCGGTAGTTCAGTAGTTCAAGACCTGAGTGCTGCATGATGGAGTGAGCTCCTGCCAACCTAGTAGTTCAAAAGCAAGAAATTGCAAGTAGATAAATAGGTACCACTTCGGTGGGAAGGTGACAGCGTTCTGTGCACCTTGGCATCTAGTCATGCCATCCACAGGACCACAGAGATGTCTTCGGAGAGCGCTGGCTCTTCGGCTTGGAAACGGAGATGAGCACTGCACCCTAGAGTCAAATTCGACTGGTTTTAGAGCAAGGGAAACCTACCAAATAATAGAAATTGAAAGTATCCACCAAGGGCAAAAAATAACGAACAGAATAAAAACAATGAAATGCTGTGATATTTTGCATCAGCCGAATAAAGTACAACAAATGCAGCCAGATAAAACTGTGCAAATGCTCGTAGCGTTGGAGGCATAGGATCAGATCTAACAACAAATCAAAATCCCTGTTAAACAAAACAGTCTTCACCAGGTTACAAAAAGCAGGACAGTGCCAAATGTGAATCACAGGTGAGATGATTCCATTGTTAGGACTAAATAAACGTTTTACATTCATGTAATAACAACAATGGGCATGGAACTCAGAAGGGGCATAGTCTGTCTCTCATTAGACAGAGCTGAAGAGAGAAGAAAGAGTTTGATAAAGGATTAACCAGGATGGGGGTAAATGGAAGAGTTAATAAGGAGCATGTAAGTTGGAAAATCTGAGGGTATGATGATTTAAATAGTTTGTACATAAGTGGAGTTTCAAGGGAGAATCAAAAGAGAGAATGGAGATTGGGGGGAGGAGAAGGTACTCCAGCGTCAGGCTTGTGTCTGATGAAGTGGGCTGTAGTTTATGAAAGCTTACAATAAGTTCATGAGTCTTTAAGGTGTCAGAGAACTCTTAGTTCTGCACGCATGGTGATAGGAAGCATTATGCAAATTGTTATCAGCTAGTTTTCATAAAGTTTAGTATGGCTTTTTCATTCCATTTGACATGGACATCCTTTAATACTATCACTGTTGTGTTGATTACTTGGTATTATTTCTTGGTTCACAGATAAGCTGGAAAGATTCACCAGTTATTAAATCAGAGAAGAGGATACCAAGCAAACAGTTTGGACGAGCTTCCCTACATTTGTCTCCCCACGGCAAGTGGCTGGCTTCAGTAGCTGAAAGTGGAGTATTAATTATCCATGATGCTGCAACTTTGGTAATTCTGTGTGGAGTTCCCATTAAATCTCTGCAGTCCCACATAGAGCACAATAGTCCAATCTGGAGGTCACAGTAGCATTGAATCAGCATGGTTAGGTTCTCAGAGTCTAAATAGGGGGCCAGTTTATGAGCAAGATGTAACTCAAAGAAAGTTTTGTCTGTTCATTGACTTCCATCTGCCACAGAATGTTGCCTTCTTAACCATAATCATAGTTGTCAGGTAAAACAGAGCTAATCAAAGTATTGTTATGTATTTTAGTTTTTAACTGCAAGCCTTTCCAAGCTCTTTGGTGAGATGAGCTACATTGCATGAAAATAACTGGGACAGTGCCAGCATATTATGTTTCTTCTCTCTTAACCATGGATAAGAGCAATGTTCCCTCTAAGCCGTGGAGTCTTGTGAGCAAAAATTCTACTTTGTGAGCTACTGGCATTAAAGTTGTGAGCGAGCGATTTGGCTGCTGCATACATTAGTTTGCTCTGGAGCCCGTCCTTCCTGAGCTGAGACAAAATTGTGTGAGCCGGAGGCTAAAAAACTATGAGCCAACTCACACTAACTCAGCTTAGAGGGAACACTGGATAAGAGCAGGAGGACAGGCTGCAGGATCTCACATTTCCTCTCTCCAGTGCCATCCCTCTCCAGCAAAACTTCTCTCCCTTCCCCTAACAGACAGTGCTGTTTCTCTTTCTCCCCTCTCTCAAAGGACATTCTAGCTCGTGAGCACTGTCATTCGTATCATGAACATGGAATCAGGACATTGACATTCTCACTGGATGGCCAGTTCATACTTGTCAGTGGTTTGGATGGAGCAATTGTTTTGCTGAAATGGAAGTAGGTATAAATTGATGAAGGGTGCCTAACTATTCAGAGCATAAAATTCTTGTGCTTAATAAGAATCAATAAAAATGTCAACCTTGGCAAAATTTTGCTTCAATCACAGTACAAAGCTGTTGCTTGTGTAAAGAGGGCAGTGGCAACCTGACGAAACATGAAGGAGGAGGATTGCAATTTGGAATTATAGTAGCCATCAAGACTGAATTACTAAATGACTAAATGCAGGACATTTTTTGCATTAAATGTTGTGACATACAATACATTGTACTGAAACTATTTGATACCCAAGTCCCTCTGGATTTCTTTTATAGAGACATTGTGTATGTATGTTTGCATGTGGAGCGGTATGTTTGTTGAAATTAGGGTGCTTGTTTATTTGGGGCATGTGGGTATAGTTCTAAAGGTGAATTTAGGCTGCGGTCACACAGGCAGAAAACTGCGGGGGGGGGAGCGTGGCTGTTTGCCCCGGGTCAAACTAACGCGTAGTTACTCGATCAGACCTCCCCTGGAGGTTCCGTGGAGGTCCCATGGAGGTTCCGTGGGAAGGGAGAGGTGCTGATCACAGGACGATCCTGCGCGCAACAAAGAAGCACGCGGTGCGGCAAACGGGGTTTTTTTTGTCGTGTACACCAAAAATGCGCATGCTCCGTTGGGTGCTTGTGCGCATCCACGGAGACTTGGGGGAAAAAACTTGTTTACAAGGGGACATGGGTGGGCGCCGGATGCCACCGGAAACGCGATCAGACGCCCGCCCTTGCCCCGCAGTTTCCGGAAACTAGTACCTCCGAGGTACTAGTTTTTTGCAGCGCGGTTTCGGCGGGAAGCCTCGGTTGAGCCACGGAAGCCCTACGCTTCCCAGATGTACCGGTGAGATCGCGCCCGGAAACTCCGCCTGACTTCCGTCTCTCTAGCGTGGCTAATGTTCCGTGTGACCGCAGCCTTAAATAATTAGCCAAAATATTACAGGAGTCCGTTGCTTATGTGAGATTATGTTTTTTTAAAAAATCTTTTAAGTTGCCACTGGACTTCTGTTTTATTTCAGCAAGGGTTTCTGTATCATTCACCGCCACAAAATGTACTATCAGCTGCTGCCTGGGGCTTGCAGGGTCTGTGCATGGGATTGGCTTACCTCTAGATAGTAGCTTTACTGGGAGAAAGACAAATAAAACAGCCCTTTCATAGACTGTGGTAAAAAGCCTCTGAGAAGAATGTGAGATTCTATACCATCAAGAATTTAGTTATGCTTATCGGCACCAGTTAATTTGATTATTTGAGAGCCAGTGTGGTATAGCGGTTAAGAGTGTCTGGGAGACCAAGGTTCAAATCTTCACTTGTACCGCAGAAGTGGGGATGATAAAGGATTTAAAAGGTCACTGAGTGATTTTGGGTTACTCACATTCCCTCAGCCTAACCGACCTCACAGAGTTGTGAGGATAAAATGGCAGAGAGAATGATGATGTAAGATACTTTGGCTCCCCATTGGTGTATGAATGAATTAAATAAATAAATAGTGTCCCCTGTGCAAGTGGGTCTATTGAAACAGTATCTCACGTGTCACTGGAATGTCGTTATTATGCCAGCATTCGGCACAACATTTTATCGCCATTACTTGGTGGCATCACAGAGCTTCCTGATTCACATAAACTGATATATCTACTAAACAACGTTGATGAAAATATAACTGATTCCGTGGCAAAATTCTTTCAGGCTGCTCTTTTTACATGCACTACAGTATTGTAACACAAAACTTGTTTTTGGGAGATATGGAAGTGAGACTTATTTATATGGATTTTAGATTATTTTAGGACACGGTGTTGTTCTTTTTCCTTCCCCCCCCCCAGTTGGTATATGTGCCTTATGTTTTATTTATTTATCTATTTGTGTATTTTCTCCAATGTCATTGCCAATAAAGGTAACTGAACTGATTAATAGTGTGATTAAGGATGCAATCCTGTGCATGCTTGTTTTTGAGTAAACAGGACTAGGATGAGAGTTTAAAAATGTTTGTTTGGCATTTTCATCATGGCAGTTCAATTCTATCAGGTTTCTGCTCTCTTGTTTTTTCTGTTTTTTCTCCAGGAGGATCAGTGAGCGCAAACTGAAGGATTCAGTTGACTTTGGGAATTATCTTCTTAGCAACTTAAACAACTATATTTTCCAGGAAAACACATTTTTAAGGAATATGCCAGAATGGGCAAGGATATTAGGACGGAAATTGGACTCTGCGCTCTTTCAAAGTGACTCTCAGGTCTTACAATTTTGAATGTATCAGATTGTGCAGTGACAATGTGTTGAGTGCTGAAAAGCTGGGAAACAGAACTGGATAAGCAGTTTCTTATTAAGGATATAACAACTTCTGACAACCTAAGCTACTTCATAGAATTATTTAGGATAAAATGGGATAAACTCATTTTATGCATCCTGAGCTCCTTGAGGGAAGGATACACGAAGGTTCGGTCACTGCAATAGATAGTTTATTTTATCATATGTGTTTATTTCAAACTCTTGGCATTTGCAGCAAAAAGAAAAGAAAAAACAAAAATTAAATCCCATTAAAATTCAGTCTACTAAACTGCTAAAAATCAGACACTAAAAAGTATTAGGTCTCAGGGAATTGTCAGAGGATATCATGATCTGCTTTAATTTATTTCAGGTAAAGTTTAAGAAGGGATCAACTGTTGAAATTGAAGAGGAGGATGAATATTTCCTTCTGACTCAAGAAAAATCTTCTGAGGCAACATGGTTAGATCAGAAAGCAGAGAAGGTACTGCCAATGTAACAATGAAGTAATAATTGCACATAGAATTATCATTTCCTGTCATGTTGCCCTGTGAAGAAATCTATTTTTTTAAAAAAGCATGGTGTAGCAGTTAGGATAAGAGATTAGGGTTAAAAAATCAATAAAAAATCCCCTCTGGGGGCTTAAAAAAAAAAAGGATAAGAGATTAGGATCTGTGAGATCCAGGTTTGAGTTCCCATTCTGCCATGGAAGTTTGTTAGATGCCCTTGGGCCAGTCACTCTGGGCCAAAGTAAACAATACCATGTATCTTGAAAATGGCACAGCTGGGGAGACAGGAGCCTTTCATCTCCCTGCAGGATCAGGTCCCCACAGCAATTCTGAAAACTAAAAAAAAAAACACAACACCACCAGGTTTTTTAAAATGGTGCTGTGTCCCTGTGGCAGACTCTGGGGTACAGTATCGTCTAGTTTGGCCCTCTTTCTTAGCCTAACCTCTCTCAGCCTAATCTATCTCGTAGTACTGCTATTGAGAGAATAAACAGAAGAGTGGAGAACAATGTTGTAAGCCACTTAGGGAAAAGCTGCTGAGGTGGTATCTGTGGTGCTGACCCACTTTTTATTTCAGTTGTGCTCATCTAGTAAACTCCTGTGCTGCTCAGTTGTTGGGAGGGCCTAGTCTGCTCCTGGACACAGCTTTGATTCTAAGTCTCAGAGAAACAAAGATGCTGCAGAACTGCTTCTTGTTGAAAGCAATGGATTGAAAGATTGTTTTCACATTAGTACCTGTGTTTTGCTTCATGCATCCAGGCCCAGGCTAGCATTGTTAACTAGTACTTTGTTCTTCTCGTCTATTTCTTTCTGCCGTCTGTCTCTCTGCTACATGTCAGGCTATCAAAGAAGAAACTGACAAGTTCACTGATAAGAGAAAAGAAGTGAAACATGGAATTAAAAAGCTCCGTAAAAAGGTGAGGAGTTGAAGAATGTTCAGGCTGTTGCTGAGGGCATGGTGAAGATATTTTCTCTTCAGCTTGTCTAGAGCCATGAGGAGATCATGATGACACCGCTCACTTCATTGTGGCTTTTATACATACTTGTATGTAGGCGGTTGATGCCCTTTGCAGTGGCCAGAGCCACATGGGAGCTGCTGTTCTGTGTGTATAACCCTACATGGCTGGGAATTGATGCAACCAATCGGGCAGGGAAGATTGTCCGGATTCCTCTCCCCCCCCCCCCAACAGTTGACAACCTGGAAGTCTCCAAGAGCTGCATATGAAGGACTTCTGAGAGCAGACCAACAACCAGTGTGTGGCTTAGCTCCAAAGTAGTTGTGCCAGTTGTGGGGTATGACACATGCTTCCCTTCTTGAGTAAAGGATGGCTAAGGTTGTTGAGTAAAAGATGGCTAAGGTTGTCTTAATCAAAATACAACAGGAGCACACAGAAGAAGGGGGCCTCCTTTTGCCCCTCAGCTCCAACTACGTTTTTTCTTTTCTGTGCTTACTTCTGGTGTTGGAGCTAGTGGGGGGGGGGGAGTGACTGAAAAAACATTTTGGTGGAGGAATTGGTGTGGGAAGCATTCTGCCCACTCCTTTTTTTTCTGTTGAAGCAAGACACATATCTTTTATAAGTGAACAGAGCAGATATGTGAGTGATGGCTCAACATGCCTTGTTTGTGTGGTATTTTTGCTTCAGAGCAGACACTTTTATACAGATGTATAAAAAGCAAAACTCTGCATACCTAACAACAGTATACCTTTCATGTGCTGACATTTTTTTATCTGCATATCTGCAGAGTGGCCAGGAGTCAGACTTGATACTTCAGTTATCCTGTGCACAAGAGTTCATTGTCCTTGGGTTGTGTGGGATATTTCTGGCAACAGATGGTCCTAGTATGAAAGTAGGACCAATCCATACAATAAGCAGTTCTTACAAGTTGGCTGCTGTATGGAGCCATCACCATGTGAAAGCATTTCACCTGTAAATGTTAAAAATAATATAATGACAATTCAGTTGCTGAGAGCACATACAATTTATGTGCATTGAGGGGAGCAGAATTGTGCCTAGCGGCCCCATTCCCACATATGCATACTTTCCCATTTGCATCTTCCAAGTGGAAGGGAAGAGCAGATGCCAGGTACTGTAGTTTCCAAATTAGGGTTAGAAATCTTTCTCTGTTTTCATTTTCTTTAATCTGTACCATGATTTCTTTAGCCTATGTACTCTCTAGAGAGATGCTGATAGTAAATTAAAGCTTGTACTTGTTTAAGGTATGAAAAGACTGACTGGATTCCTACTTGCATGCTTTGCTGTGGCCAATGTTACCAAAACAGTCTTGTATGATGCTCCTCCTGGCATCAAGTTAAAAGGGGGGGGGGAGTAAAACCCAGGACGTGTTGACAGTGATTACAGGGAAAGACACCCCCCTGAGAGAGAGAGAGCAGTGAAGGATCCCCACTATGAAGAATGGTTTTCTCTCTGCAAAACAGTTTCCCCCTGGCTTCTGAAAAGAGCTGGGTCTCGCTTGTCTGCTTGTGGGCCGGTTGCCCAAGTGAGGAGTGAAAGCAGTCTGGCAGCCACTGGGGTGGAAATGTTGTAACAGTGATTTTACAAGCAAACAAACACAAATCCAGTTTCTTTTTTATGAAGTTCAGGAACATTTTCCTTTCCTTTGTTATTCTGCTCCTCTGACAGAACGTCTTGAGCAGAGTCAATACAGATGCAATATTAAATATAAAGCAATAAACCTTAAAATATAGCATGGTGAATTAAAACACATAAGTGCTAAGAATCTAGCAACAGACTGTGTTATTTCCAGATTTGTGTTGGCCAGCAAAAAAAAAAAAAATCACATGAGATTCAACAGGCAGCTGATATTTTCTCAGGATTGGTATAATGCAGAAGTCTCTGAGTGGAGTCCATCAATCACAGAATAAAATGAGGTGATCTATGGTCTCTGTTATGCACAGCAGCAGTAGCAGTCAGAATATGTTTTGTTGGAAAAAAACAAAAACCCCACATTTGGCAGATCATTCAGTCTGCCTAACATAAAAGCATGCCTATGGCCAGGAGTTGTAAGGAGGATTAGATAAAAGAGCAAGGGTCAAAGAGGGGGTGTCCCCATCACAAAAGTAGAGCATACACACTTTGCACAAGCCTGTGTGCTGACATGGTCAGACTTAATAACCTGTTTCCTAACCAACCATACAATTGTACTACTCTAAAGGAAACATTTTCCTAATGCAAACATGCAAACAGAATTAGGCCACTAAGGGTGTATCTTCAGTGCATGTGTCAATACACAGGAGAGGATCAGTCATGTTCAGTGCTCCTGACAACCTACATTTTAAGGCTTCCAGTGCACAACAAGTTTGTATGATGGCTCTTATGGCAATCCCTTTTCACATCTGCTTAGTGATGGACACAGTATCATTTGTGACCTGAGAGATACAAAGTACCTCCTGTTCCTTCTATTTTATCAAGGTTGAGAGAAAAGAGAGTACACATATTGGTCCAAGAGGTATATATCCTGTGATATTTTCTAATGTTTGAATCTTACCATTCCTTAAGGAAAGTGTGGGTGGAATTCATAAAGCTATCTCATTTTATCCCTACAACAGCCCTTTGATGTAGGTTATACAGGAAGAAAGTGACTTGCTCAAAGCCACCCATAGAACCTGATAATCGGGCAGGGATTTATTTGGGATTACCACATCCAAGCCCAGTGCTCCCTGCTATACTGGCTTTCTGTAGAAGCCTCACAATGCAGTATCATGGGTAAACTGATACTGGCTTGATAAACACAAAGTGTTTACACAGAAGGTACACTCTGGGGTCTGTGTTTCTCTGTCCCTACTTTTTCCACATTTTTGGAAATACATGTCTGCACATCAGACTGTGTATGCGTATTGCACAAACAGCAAAGTCTCTGCAGTTCTGTGCAAAATGTGAATCAGTTCTTAGATGTATATTGCTGCATCACTGATATTGTTCTACTTTTTAAAAAAACAGATTCAGGAAATGATGTTTGAAAATGCAAAGGCACCTAAAATTGAGAAACTGGACCAACAAGAATTCAATGTGGACGTAGAAGAACAAGAGAGGCAACAAATAGAAAGTGAAAAAGAAGTGGCACGGGTATGATACAGATGGAGTGGAGATGGGGGTTTAATGTGTTTGATCACATACAACAGAATGAAGTGCTGGGCAGAGGAGAGAGAACCAGGAAAGCTTAGCGCTGCAAAAATGTCACTGGTCAGTTGTAATGTGGGAAAATTTCTCTTTGCAACTAATAGCATGAGGTTGATTACAGTTTTTAAAATGCATCACTGAAATACTAGACATGCATAGTTCCTTTCTGTTTGGCTACAGTTTCTGAATCTTTTATTCATTCATTTATTCATTCAATCAATTTATACCCCACCCTCCCCGCCAAGGCAGGCTCAAGGCAGTTTACACAAAATTCTATATAAATACAATTAAAACCAGTCATAAATAATATAAACATAAAATGACATAACATTTAATTTAAAAAGATCCTAAAGTGCTGGAACATGGTCAAATAAAGTGCGAGAGCAAAGGTTTCAAGTTAGTAATACTACTTAAGGTGATGGTACAGTCATGATGGTATTCTCACCAGCTTGGTTTGTTCGACTTATTTGTGTGGTGGGCACAGGCTGTAGGTGGTAGGCCAGGACACAGGGACACTCCTCGGTGTTTAATGTGGCTCCTTAATCAGAAGCCTGGTGGAAGAGCTCCATCTTGCAGGCCCTGTGGAACTGTAAAAGGTTCCTCAGGGCCCTGATCTCTTCCAGGAGCTCATTCCACCAGTACAGAGCTGCCACTGAGAAGGCCCTGGCCCTGGTTATGGGCAGCCTGGCGTCCTTGGGGCCCAGGAGGGCCAATCAGTTTTGGGACCCTGAACGCAGTGCTCTCTGGGAAACATGTGGGGAAAGGTAGTCCCCTAGGTATGCTGGACTCTGACCATAAAGGGCTTTAAAGGTTAAAACCAGCACCTTGAAATGAATCTGATTACATTTATTGACTTTAAAAATGTATGTGATATGTAAATTGCATCTGTACAAACAAATAACCACGGTTTCTACGTCAAAAACGTCTGAAAAGCAGCAAAGGAAATCCAAATCTGTTTCTTAAAATATTTCTAATTACTTGAACAAGGAATGGTTGCATAAATTATAGGTTGTATACTTTATTGTATTTTTTTGAACATTCGTATTCATGGAAGAGAGTGGAGAGGTGGTGGTAGGGAGAGAGAGGAGCTATATGTATAACTTATTGCTGAACTAGGATTTTGAAGAAGACATTTCAGTGGAGAGAGAGAAAACAGTAGCATACTTTCTCATGTTGGTGGTGTTGTAGCTTTATTATTGACTGTGTAGTAACTGCTGCAGTTTTCAAATGCCCCAACTAGAGGCTGGTCTCCTAGGCTGCTTCCACCCAGAGATGATGTTCCATGTAGTTGGTGTCAGTGCTGCAGATGTAAGTATTTGCAATAGCAACTGAGTCATCCACAAAGCATCTCCTCTTCCACTATCATTTCCCTCCCACTCCAGCAGTTGAGTTTTTGAATTTTTTAAAGAGGTGGGAATGCAAGTAAAATGGTACCTGCAAGGGTCTGAGGGAAGAAAAATTGAGCTGATGTGGGCAGGACCTTGGTTAATGTGCACCTTTCCATCCAGATTGCTTAATAATGTACTTGGACTTCAGCTGTAGGATTTACAGGAAAGTGTCTATAAAGAAAACTACCACTATAAGCCATATTTTTCAAGACATTTGCTTCATTATATTGACAACAACTACATAGTTACTCACCCAAGTTCCACTGAGATGGAAGAAAGGAATGATTTACGTACATAGTCCGTAAAATGTTCTAACTGATCTTTTATATATCCTGTTACCACTTTACCCTCTTCTCCTGTGAAATTATATGGGGTTAATACTTGGGATGTTTCTGGAATTTACTAGTACTGTGATGTCTGCGAGCAGTAATATCTTTACCTGAGCACTACTGAAAACTGGTGTAATTTCTGTCCCTCTCCCCATTTGCTTTCTTTGGTATTAAAAAAAAAAGGTAAGGAAGGATATAGAGATGGAAAATCTAGCCAATGCCTATTTACGTGAGATCATCAAAGAAGATTGCTGGAATGCCATGTCTGTTAAAGGTCGCTCGGTTAGGGTAAGTTCTTTTGCCTTCCTTTCACACTTCTCTTTTGTCCAAAGTTAAATTTTGTAAAGTTTTTAAGGTCAGAAATCACATTCTTGGATCTGTAGAACACTGGACTGATTTTACAGTATGCATACCCAGTAAGCATAGGATTGTCAGTAGGATTTTGTTGCTGTCTGAATAGCTACAGAACTCTTTTGGCAAATTATCATTGGAACCAACTGTAAGTGTTGCATCGAAGCAAAATTTTGGCACAATCCAACTGTTGTGCTAGGTAAAAAAGTGAACCACAAGCATAGTGATGTGGTGGGTTGAGTTGTTCAGCAGAGGAAGCACAATACAGTACTTTTGCAGCTTTGTGTGCCCTTGCTTCCCTTCTGGCATTAAACTGGTAGCGAGACAGAAGGAACAATGGACTGGCAATTACTGTCACTTTATTTCTTTCTTCTGGCCACTCACTCTCTCTCATCTAATCTTAGCTTCAGAAGGAGAACACCACCACTGCCAGCTGCCATCATCCACTACTGTAATACCCAGTTCAGGAAATGTAGTCTGCTCTGTAAGGGGGAGGACTGAGGAGGAGTAGAGAGGGAGTGAATGGCAACCCCACGGACACTTAACCAGCAAGGTTGTGACCACATAGACTTCTTTAAATGAGGGAACTATGAACATTCAGGACCCGGTTTTAAGCCCTATTTAAGCAGGAGGCTCAGGACATTTGTTCTGCTTTGTTTCTGTATATAACAACTTTTGAATAATGGAAATATACTCAGCTCAAACCCTACTAAAATGCACGAGAACATCACGAGGGCATGAGTGCTTTTAAAATATCCACTGGATCAGTGCTGAAGATGTTCCCAGTGGATTGCACCATTCAGCCAACTTTGGGTTCTGAAGTGTCTTCAGTCCTTTATATCACTTCTCGCTATCTTTGTTTTTACATTTTAAAACAAGCGTCCATGTAAGTATTGCCCATTCTGTTGAAGAAGAGGATAATAGGATTCTTCACCAGGATAATACTTTGTTCTTTCTACAGAGCTTCCACTTACCATGTGAAATACAGAATTATCCTATGAAAGAACGAGGCCCCGAAGAACTGGCCTTCTTGGAGAGAATTCTGCATATGAAGAAGATTGAAAAGGCAGATATGAAGGTGGAATCTTTTTTTCCCTCTCAAAAAAATTCCCCATCCACATGCATACATTTTTATAGTGATCTTATAATGCAAGGTCATTGTCACAGATGTTCTCCATGTTGACCTGGGTAGATTAAACAAAGCTTGTATTTAAAAGCCTGTTGCCCTATGAAACAGCTGAGTTCATTACATTCCATTTCATGGAAGTAGTTAATAGCTAATTTCTGTCCTGTGCTCTCAGTTAATTTCATTTATCAGCCAAAGGTCATTCCAATACCATTGCAAAACATAAACCCACATCCTGTTGTAAACAGGCAATATAAAGTACCAAGATCAATGTCTTCATCTATAAATGCTTTTATTAGTTCATCATTCTTTCTTTGATTATTGCATTGACTAGAATTTGGCCCCTTAAATCCATCAATGGCTGGGATTATGGTAATTTTGGGATTACAGCATATTTTTTTAATAGAGTGTTGCAGTTCCAACAGACTTTTGTGGTAGCAAAATGAGCATTAGCACAGCATGTAGAAGGGCTGTGGCTCAGTGGTAGAGCATCTGCTTTGACTGCAGAAGGTCCTAGGTTCAATCCTTAGCATTTCCAGTTAAAAGGACATGGTAGCAGGTAATGTGAAAGTCCACCACCTAAGACCCTGGAGAGCTGCTGCCAGGTCTGAGCTGACAATACTGACATTGATGGACCAATGCTCTGATTCAGTGTAAGGGAGCGTCTTGTGTTCATGTCCACTGTGAGCAGGGATTTGCCCTCTCCAGAATTCCTCTTCAGTTTCCCATCACTATGATTGTGATACTTTCCCCATATTGTATTGTAAATTCTACCACCAAAGCATACAGCACCTGCAAACTGAGCCATGCATGTGAGGAAGTAAGTGCTTCCAATGAAAATGCATGCTTCAAAAAATTAGCATTTTTGTCTTCCAACATGAATTATGTGAACGAATCAAATTTGCCAAACATAAATTTCATAACACACTGTCCTCATAGAAAATGGCTTTTAAACCCCCAATAGTTGTAATGTTTATACCATGTACAAAATTTTCATTGTGCATCCTATGTACATGTATTTGAACCTTTTAAAATGTATATTTATATGTATTCAGCTTCGAAGGGAAATTGTTGATTTCGAGTCTCACATTCCAGTCACTAAAGAGGAAGGGGAGAAGGCAGAAGAAGGAGAGAAACGGGATGAAGAAGCAATGCATGCTCTGGAAGGGAGCTTGAGTTCGCATTTTGGTGCAGATACATCTGTTTTATATCCTCAAATGGAAATGCACACTCGGGAAGAGAAAATTAATCAGATTATATTATTACGGGTACCTTTTCATAAGTATTTGTTAGCAATATGTAATCACACACACCCCTGTAATATGGGAGCATTAGGATGCAGACGTTTAGATAATGGCTGATTCTTCATGAGAATTTGTTCTGCTCTGGCTTTTAAACTTGAACAGGGCTTTTCCTGAGAGTTCACACAATGTCTTCTTCCAATCATTCTCCTTCTATGGTTCCTCCTATTTGCTTCAGTATTTCCCAAACCTGCTTTACTCTAATATTTATGGGTGGATCATAGTCAAAACAAGTTTACCCACCATGTGGACAGGAGGATACCTACCTGCCCACATTGGCACCATTTCTTCTCTATATTTGTTTGTATCCATCATTCCTGACTCAGTCTTTTTTTTCCTCACCAGTATTTGCTATATATGGTTGCACTACAACAATATATATACTACATTAAAAAAACAGCCTGCAAAAGAGCTCTCTGGCAGTGTGGGAGGAGGAAAATAGTGGGCATGAGAGGATACTGGGCAAAACATGGACTATAACTCTGTGAGGTGCTCTGTTGCCATTGTGAATGCCACTGCATTTGTTAATAGCAATGAGGGCACAACAGAGTATTGTCTCTATATGGAAACAGCAACTGACAAGACTTGTTGTTAGATCAACATTTGTTTGAAACCATGCATTGTTTTAAGCTTCATAATATTCTCAAAGCAGAGAGAAGCTTTACAAAGAGAGTTTTGAGTCTGCATTGAAAGAAATAGTCTCTTGCGTTCCAAAAAGCACCTGGTCAGCCCTAGCCAAATATCACCTATACACATCAGCTCAGTTAATGATAGACAGGGCACTTATATAGTCAAAGTTGGAGTTTCCACTCAGATAATTACCTCTTTGTTCTCTTCAACTAGTGGTCATCAGCAGGAGCCAACAAAGCATGATTCCTAGAAAAAATTAGTCAGTTATAGCACATGAGATCAGTGTAACAATTGGCTTGGACTGCAGAGTTACTCCAATCCAAGCAAATTGCCCTCGTGGATTTACACTGGAATAACTCTGCATAGGTTTGTCCTGTTACTTTCAGATCTGCTGTTAATCATCATATGAGCTTTAATAGGTGGCTTTGGGTTTTACCAGTATGCCTTGAAATATTACTGTCTTGTCTGATATTTCAGGACATTATTTATAATGTGAAAACTGCTTTTAATAAGGAATTTGACTCAGTCACTCGAATGAAGGAGTTGGAGATTGCACGTGTTAAGGAAAGGAATGTGAGGATCTCTCAGATCTTGAAACAGCTGGAAATCCAGGAAGAGATATGGGAGCCAACTTTAACAGATAACGAGAAACCAGATCGAGATCTGAAAGTCCGAGACTCAGAGGTATCTGGAAGAAAGATCTTTTTCACCTTAGGTATTGGTAGTGGAAATGTAATTCGAGAACCTCTATTCGTCTGTTAAATCTTGGTTCATCATGAAAGACGTAACCATTATAAAATGTAACTGTAAACAAAAATATAATTTTAAATACTCTGCAATGCCTACTTTGTCCCAAATGGTAACAGAAACACACAAATGAGTTTGCCTCTGTTGAGTCTTCTCAACTTTCTTTCTAAGACCAGTGTTTACCACTACCGTTAAATGGTAATCTGAAAGAAGTAGGGTAAGATTGTATTAAGCAAAGTGGAGGAGGAGGAAGTGATGGTGGTAGGAATCTCTATGGTCCAGGAGGCAGATAAAAGAGTATTGTACCATTACCCAGTCAATGATTCAGAGAGGTGGCTCTGTTACTGCATTGCAGCAAAAATGAACTTCTGTCACCTTAAAGACTAACAAGGAGAAATGAATGATGTAAGCCACTTTGAGTCCCCATTGGAGAGAAAGCTGAGGTATAAATGAAGTAAATAAATAAATAAATAAATAAATAAATAAATAAAAGGCTGGCTTGGATCCTGCCAAACATTTCTGCAACACTCTTGTTAGCCCCTTCTGTTGCATCCCCAAATGCCCCCTGAAATGCTTCTCTGGGGGATAGGGAACCCCCCCCCCTCCAGGAATACCATGATTAGCGAGTTGCCATCTGCTAGGGGAGTATAGAATCAGTGAAAGTCATAATCACAACTTCCATCAGCAGAAATCCTTCACAGAATACAGCTGGTATTCCGGCAAAAGATTTCATGGGCTAGAGTATCTAAAGAAGTAGGGTCTAATTCATGAAAGCTTAGGTTGGAATAAATTTTTATTAGTTTTTAAGGTACCTTTTTGTTATTGCCTAGTTAATTGTCCTGTTACCCCTCAGATTCAGAGGTCATCAGTGACCAGTTGCTCCTTTCTCTCAAACTGCTTCTCTCAAAAAGGTTGTATCATCTTACTACCTTACAGTGAGCGAAGGAAGTATTCCTACTGAGGAGGAAGAAAGAAGTACCTCCTCTTAAAACAAAAGGTCCAGGTGCAATATATAAGGGAGTATTCAAAGCAGGAAAGAACTGAATGCTTCAAGAGTGAAGAGAGCCCAGCTCTTGAAATGTGTCACTGCAATTACAGGAAAGGATGACGTCACCAGAATGAGGGCTTGTGCTGTGATGCTGTTGGTGTTCCTGCATTTTATAGGTTGCAGTATGTCTTTGGAAATGATACTCAGTGGCCACACCAGGAACCTGCAACCATGCCTCTCTCATACAAGAATCTTTTTAGGTCAGGTTCATTCCCATCATATGAATGAAAGAGAGAGAGAGAGAGAGAGAGAGAGAGAGAGAAATTTATCATACATATAGAAATCTGCAGCTCCCTGAATGCAAAGGAACTATGAGACCCCACCTTCAGACAAGGGATACCATTAAGAGTAGTACATATGAGATTACAAAATGGTCTCTCATCCAAGTGTTAGACCCAGACCTGGCTCGATTCAGAGGTGAAGTAGCAATCTGTGCTTTCACATTATTCTCTGTCCTTTCACCACTGTTGATCCCACAGCCTGTGTGTATAAGAGAGGGTTTACATTGTTTGGCAGGATAACTAAATTAAGTATTCCTCTGTAATTGCAGAATGTGGATCTTTTTGGGTGCAGAATCCACAGGGTCTGAGAGAATCCTACATTGCTATGAAGCAGATATGCTAAGGAAATATCAGAAAGTTATTACGCTTATTAGGAAAAATAGTGAATTCTATGACCATTTACTCACAGAAAAACTGACTGTGATTCTTTTATCTCTACAGATCAAAGTAGAGAAGTACTTGACTCCAGTCCAGAAAGCAAAAGAAAAAATTATGGCCAGGATTAATTATAAAAGGCGTCTTGCTGCTCAGGTAGTGATGAAATGGTTCCTTGTTTCCTATATGGTTTCTTCTTTCTCTAATTTCATGCTTTAGCTTTACAGTGCTGTCTTTTTTGCCATTATTTTTAGGGGGACAATGCAAGAGAACGTGGACTTGTGGACATGATGAATGGAGTCCTTGAAATCAAAAAGGATGACATATTGAAGATGGTGAGTTATATTTCCCTATTTTGGTTAAGGAGGAGAGTTGACATGACTATAAAGGAATATAATCTTGACCTAGGGCTGCCAAATGCAGCCGGGGGGGCAGGGAATCCCCCGCTTCGGAGCCCCGATTTCCGGCGCGCCGGAATCGGGGCCCGGGAGAAACCCCACCCCCGCGTGCGCGTCACCCGGAAGTGACGTCGCACGCTGGGGGCGGAGCCACGCCGTTTGAGGGGAAAACAAAGAGTTTTCCCCTCAAACGGCAGCCAACTCTTTGTTTTCCCCTCAAACGGCGTGGCCCCGCCCAGCGTGTGACGTCCCAAGGAGCTCCCGGACCGGCCGGACGAACCCCCGCCGGTAAGCGATTTAAATTTGGCAACCCTATCTTGACCTTATAACCAGAACTCTCATCACCGTGCCGGGAAAATGATTGTATTTGGCCTGACTATTCTGCCTTACAAATAGGCCTGAATTACAGATGTCTTGCTTCACACTGCTTCAGTCACCCAGATTAGAAGCAAGAGACTAATCAAAACGTATTAAGGTCTACCTTATCCATATAAATTAACACAAAAATTAGGCCCTAGAGTGTGTGGCAGAAATGGAATCGGCACTAATGTGGTGTCACTATAATTGGAGCCTGGTGTTCATTCTGAGTCAATCAATACAAAATAGCAGTTTGAGATTCCTGAATATTCTTTCCCTTGTATATGATTCAGCAGGGCTCTTTTGTAGAAAAAGGCCAGCAGGAACTCATTAGCATAATAGGCCACACCCAACAGCAGAAACTCATTAGCATATTAGGCCACAACCCTGACAGCACAGCTCATTAGCACATTAGGCCGCACCCCCATGTTACCAGAAGTGTGGTCATCCAGCCACACCCACCTTTTGCTTCTTATTCTGTTTACTTTGTTTGTTGTCAAAACCCAGGGCTTTTTTGTAGCAGGAACTCCTTTGCATGTTAGGCCACACACCCCTAATGTAACCAATCCTAATGAGTTTCTGCTGTTGGGTGTGGCCTATTATGCTAATGAGTTCCTGCTGGGCGTGGCCAACTTGGGAGCCAGCCGGAACTCCGTTCCTGTGCGTTCCTGCCCAAAAATAGCCCTGTGATTCAGACTATTTGAGACACTGTTCTCTGTCATTTCTCCTAAAACAGAGTTTAAGAGCACTGGGATTACCTCCCAAGATTACAGACATACTAAGAGCTGCTATTGTGCTAGAAGTACTATGGAAATGATCCTATGTTGTCCAAGTAAAGCACTGTTGCAGCCTGCCATGTCCCCTGAAATTGTGTCCCTAGGGGTCAGGGGATTCCCAGAAACAATTATGGGTCAGGGAGCCTGCAGTGGAAAGGAAGGATCAGCAAAAAACCTTCCCCTTTTCCACTGTTATCTTCTGCAAGTAGAAATGATAGGTAGGATCTGATTCATCTCTTCTTCTGATACTATCCACAAGTGGGGAAGAGACAGAAGGTCTGCATATATGCATGTCTGAGTAATCCCAGTCACTAGGTGACATTCAGCAACCTGTCTGCATTAATTTCTAGTTATTTGGGACTATATAGCAGTGTTTCAGAAATTATCCATATAACATTGTTGATTGCCACTGTAAAGTAACAGTTAGAGGCTCCAACTACAAAGTCTGTAACTGTTGTTAGTGCTCTTATGCATCTGATTTTGCTACTTAAAATTCTCTTATTCAGGAGATTCCACCACCTCCTTTTGCATCAAAACCAGAGGCTCTCTGGAGTGAAGATGAGAAAAAAATATATAAAGAATATGAGAAAAAAGTGAAGGAACTGAATGAAGAAAGAGAGAAACACCGAAAGGTAAACAGAAATAAAATGAACAATTTAAACCCCTGCTTTCTGCTCTTCAGGAAAAACAGCTGAGCAGCTGGAGCTCTCTGCCTCTCACCTGTTTGGGTTAAATGGATCGGAGCCATTTAAACCCCTGCTTTCTGCTCCCCAATGCTTTTAGACCCCAGATCCTGCTGGATTACTCCTATTTTACAAAGATATCACCTCCCTATGGAACCCTGGGTGATAACCATACTATTAGCTGATGAGGACCCTGAAACGACTCGCTTGGTGGCAAAATATCTTTCAATAGTGCTATTTTTAAAGCGGCTTTGAAATGTTATGAGTACCTTTTGTATACAATTTAAAAATTTTAAAACTAATTTCCATAATATCATGGGATTTTATAGAATTCATTGAAGTTTATAAAATGTGGTCTGATGTTACTGATTGAGAGCATGTTTACTAGCTTTTATTGTAAAGACGTTCTGTCTAAATTTCTTGTAATTTTATGTAATGCATTTTATATTTGTTGTTTGCATGTTTGGCTTAAGACCTCGGGTCAATGAAGCTAATAAATGAAATGGAATGGAGGGGAGCAGAAAGCAGAGGTTTAAATTTTAAGTGGCTCAGAAACCATTTCAATTTGCAAACCGGCTGAACCATGAACCAAACCAAACCACATCCCTGGTGATGAATATTTTACATGTAGTTTGGCTCTGAGTTTTTCGTATTTAAATAGTAAAACTTCACATATTTAAGGTTGCTCTTACAAATATAGCAATCTAGAATCATGGTGTTGTTGGTTTTTTTTAAAGTCAAGTCTTTCCTGTTTTCAAAGAAGCACTGGGGTTAAATAAAAGTACCTTCAGCCTGATGTGCACATTATGAGGAAGGGTGGGGACCTAATCTCAGATTCTCCTCAATTTAGTCCCTCCCACTCATTCTCATAAATGACACTCACAGCTGTTTTCTTACAGGGTGCTTCAAAAATTTACATAAAATACATTCCATAATGGAAAGACATAGACAGTATCTACCTGCAGCAATAATCCTGTTCCCCTTTGTTTCTGCTATGTTTGTGAGAGGTGATATCCAGAATAGGAAACATCCCCCAATGCTAGGCCCAGGAAAGCCTATCAACTGAGATTACAAACATAAGAGAAACCATGTTGGATCAAGCCAATGGCCCATCCAGTCCACTCTGTGTCACACAGTGGCCAAAACCCAGGTGCCATCAGGAGGTCCACCAGCAAGGCCAGAACTCCAGAAGCCTACCCACTGTTGCCCCCCCCAAACACCAAGAATACAGAGCATCACTGTCCCAAACATAAGTGTTCCATCTATACATTGTGGCTAATAGCCACGATGGACCTCTGCTCGATGTGTTTATCCAATCCCCTCTTGATGCTGTCTGTGGTTGTAGCTACCACCACTTCCTGCAGCTACATGTCCTACATACTCTTTGGATGAAGAAGTACTTCCTTTTATCTGTTCTAAGCCTACTGCTCATTAATTTCATTGCATGCCCACGAGTTCCTGTACTGAAAGAAAAGTAGAAAAGTTATTCTTTCTCTGTTCCATGCATAATTTTGTAAACCTCTGTCATGTCACTCCTCAGTCATCATTTCTTCAAGCTAAAGAGATGTAACCTCTTTAACCTTCCTTCATAGGGAAGGTGTTCCATCCCCTTAATCATTTTAGTTGCCCTTTTCTACACCTTTCCCTGCTATATCTTTTTTGAGGTGCAGTGACCAGAACTGTACACAGAGGTGTTGAATGCAAACCAAGATCCCCCTTGGACCCTTCTAAAATCATAGGCCTATCACAATAGGTAGGAGAACTGGGTTCCCTGTTTTGATGTGGTCTACACAAATCCACTCATGATGAAGACATGGAATATATTTCTTCCTTAGATTCTAGAAACTGAGTTGAGGAAACTTCAAAGCTCTGTTCAGGAAACAACACAAACTTTTGATGAAATTGTGAACAGGCTGTTTGAAAAAAAAGTCAAGTCAGAAATGGTTATATATCAGGTGAGCATGAGATTTCCTGTTTGCTAGCTCACTTTCCCTGCAAAAAGTAGTCTGAATGTTCCCTCTGAAATCCTCTAGGAAGAACTCAAAATAACCAACCTTCTGTACTCATTGCTTTTGGATGAAGAACTGAGCACAAGAGAAGCTGGGATCAGTCACTATCTTGAAAAAAAGAGGAAAGAAAAGGTAATAATAATTTTTGAATTTGGGAGGATAGCTACGTTTGAGGTTAAAGATCTGCCCAACCATTTACAAACAAATTACTCCCCAAATCTCTCATCTCTAGGTCAATAAAAATGTGACCCATGAGATCTGTGATTTGACATTTTAATGCATTTACCTCAAAGAAACAATGTGTAACAGGTAATTTGATCTGGGAAGCAACACTGAGGGGGTGGTCAGATTACTCCTTTTTCATCATCGTGGCTTCTGTGCAGTCCCACATGGGATCTGCGCAGGCGCAGGCCAGCCAACGGAGAGGAACTAGCAAGCTTCTTATAGGAACTTTTTAGACTCCCAAGAGTGCAGGCCCCCCTCCCACTCACTGTGACTTTGTGCCAAATCACGTGATGTGGGAGGAGCCAGCACTCGTCCCTCAGTTCTCTTTTTGCTGCCGGTGAGAGAGGACTTGAAAGTAATAGCTTCTTTGACGTCCTGTGAGGTAAATTTTTTCTGAGGTAAAATCCTCTGAATTCAGAGCCCTAATGCCGCTTTTCAAAAAGTGTGACCAGTGCGGAGCGAAAATGGCCCAAACAGATGAACACTCCTCCTGTCTCCTGTGCCTCGGGGAGGGCCATAATACCAGCAACTGCCGGGCTTGTCACAGCTTGACACCAAGAGCGAGAGAGACCAGAGCAGCGTGCCTTAAAGCCGCCCTCTGGGAACAAGCTCTTCGGGGCACCTTAGATGCTCCGTCAGAAAAAGCCCCTGAATCTGAAAAGCCTCCCTCGGTCCACTCCACGCCTACCCTGAATCCAGTGACTGACGAGGAATCCAGGGCGCTTTCTGAACCCCCGAGAAAAAAGTCTAAAAAGACTAAAAACTTGACTCTGGGTTCACCTCTAAATAATTCGAGGAATAAGCCTTCGACTTCTGCCAGAGGGCGGGTGGTCTCGCCCTCCCCAGTGCGAGGACCTCCTCGTTTGAAGCATCGCCCGCGTTCGCGGACGAGAAAGCAATCAGCACCGTCTGCTGCTGAAATTGTGTTGTCGCAAAACCCCCGATCAGAGCCGCTTTCGACCGGCGAGAATCGGGAGCGACATGACTCAGGGAGCTGCCAGTCTTTGCAGCGTGACAAGGGGCTAAGCTCCCCTCGGCGCCGTACGCCGTCATTGCAGCCAAACATTCTGCTGCCAGAGCTGTCGCCCTCGGCGTCAAGGCGCCGCTCCCTCTCCCGATCGTCTTCTGACATCGAGCTGTTAACTCCCTCACTGCCGAGGCGCCCGTCTAGCAAGTCCCGCCATGCGCACTCGACTCCGTGGTACCCTGTGCCCATGATGATGCCGACAGACTGGGGTGCATGGAATCCCCCATTCCCTGGGCAGTGCTATGCAGCCTCTTGCTCGATGAGAGACGAGTCCCAAAGCCCTCAGAAGCGGCGTCAGCGGCTTGACTATGACTCAGACTCAGACGGTGAGATTGTCCCTGCCTCCACGCGATGAGCTGGATGTCGGCACCCGCCCCTCTTTGCTGAATGAAACCAGCACGCCCTATGCTGAACTGCTCATTCGAATGGCAAAGGCTCTTAACCTGGAGTATTTGACTACGGAGCCTCAGACAAAGGATCCTCTTATGAAGGTTCTCTTTGATCCTGGAGCTGGTTCTGCTACCCTCCCATTCCTTCCAGAAATCCAAGAAGTCATCGCGTCTGCTTGGGCGCAGCCTGCATCTTTTCCACCTTCCTCCAGAAAGCTTG